GGCTGCCCGCTTCCCTTTGGGATTCGGCGTTGGCGCCCCCTCGCCCTATGCCCACCCAGGGCTTGGCGCAGTGCCGCGAGCCAGCATCCAGCTTGCGGGACCAAGAGTAGCGCTTACAGCTGGAGGGGACTTGGGGCGACCCTTAGGTTTAGATGCAGGAATGAGGCCCCAGGAGAGGAAGTGATTTGCCCAAGGTCACACATTCAGATCTGAGCTCAAGGTCTTTAGAATGTGAGATGGGCATGGCCATGCCCCTCCTTGAAGCCCCCTTTAATCTTGCCGTCCATTGCCAGGCTGGGTGGCTCAGGGTACCCAACACCGAGAAATTCTGGAAGCCAACGTGGCAGGGAGGCTCCTACAGCCGAAGCAAGAGTTCTGGGCCTTTCCCTGGGTGAAGATGGGATGGGGTTTCCCAACTGGAGGGTAATCTCTTTTCAAGAGGCTTATTAAAACTTGGCTTAGAGATAGAGAAATTGAAACGGCAAAAATGGAGCTTAAAGAAGAGCAGTCTCTTCATCCCCTGTCCACATATCAGGTCGCGAGTCCCTACCAAAGGCTGGCACGGGGACTCCCCTAACCTTCATCCCTGCTCTGGGCCTTTCATAGGATCATTTTCTCCTGATAACATTCTGCCCACATGAACCTGGGCAGTATTTTTTTTACTCAGGACAGTAAAAGAATCAATGAACAAGCATATGGAGCAGGGCCACCACCCCAACCCTACCCTCATCTCTCCTGGGGCCACAACTTGACCTGCTAACCCTCAAGTCTACCAACCCCCTGTGAGTAATTTTCTCAATTACAAACCTGATCACATCACTCTTCTTAAAATCCCCCTATGGCTTCCTTCCTGCTGTCCCTGGGATGAAGACAAGCTACTGAACATGCCTACAGGGCCCAGCCCCATTGTGTCTCCTTTGCCCTCTCGAGCCTTTTCTTCTCTTATTCACTCCCCTTGCTTTCTACACTCAAGCCAACTGGCCACCCATCCTTCAGCCCATGTTATTCTCTCAGTCTGGGAAGATTTTCTCCTCTCTTGTCTCTGACATCCCAGCCCCCTTGCCTAATCAATTCATGCTCATTTTCAGATCTCAGTTAAACTGTCCCTTCCTTGTGGAACCTTTACCTGATGCCCTAGACAAAGCTGTGAACTTTTTTTTTCATTGCCCATATTGTTCATGATATATACTTGTGAAATTACTAATTTAATATGTCTCCCAGGCATATATGCACACTCTATGAAGCCCATAGTTGTATCTCTGATGCCTAGAACTGTGCCTGAAATTCCTCCATTAATATTTGTTGAATGAATGAATTAGCAAATAGGCCAAGCCACAGATACACGGAATTGGCCAGAGTCTGTAAGCACAGGTTAAGTTTGTCTAGAGTCAGTACTGGATAAACATTTGGCCCTGGATAAAACTTATCACAAGCTGAATTCCAAAAACCAGGTGAAGCTGGGGGTAGGGGTTCCTGGCCGTGTCAAAGGGAGGGGCATAAATGGCAGAAGCCAGCCTGGCTGGAATAGGGGCACCAGAAGATAGGTTCACAGTGCAGTTGGGCCAAGTAGTGTCCCAAATGCTGAACGACAGGTTGCTTTTGCTCCTCTGAGGGAAAGGGCACACCCAACTTACTTTGGGAAGATGTAGCAAGGCGAAGCAGGTGGGGCTGGTGAGTCACTTGGGCCGCTTCACACAGTCAGCGGAAAGCAGGGCAATGCTGAAGGTATGAGCCCACGTGAAGTTAAATACGCCATGACTAAAGTGGCTGTCACTTTGGGCAAAGGCTTCCCTATGGGGAGAGAAAATCAAACAAGATTTGGAAATGGTTGCCCCTCCTTTCCACCAATTTTGCGCTGCCATCCCTGGGAGGGTGGCCTCCATTCCTCTCCTTCAACCCCAACTCCAGGCCCAGGTCGGGCGCCATCCCTCAGGAGGTTTCCTAGACACCCAGAGTCTTGTCTAAGCTTCCAGAGTAGCCCTTACCAGCAGAATTTCATCATCTTCAAATCTCCCCTAGAGAGGAGCCACTTAATTTCCCTCGTAGTGCCTCCTCCCTCCATCGAAGCCAATACAGTCATCCTTTCTCTGTGGAAAATTTCCCATCAACATGGTCGCATGGCCCCTGTTGTCAAAGGAAATGATTGGGGAAGTCTCTCCTTTCAAGAGTCCCGAAGTCAAGGGAAGAGATTCCATGCTGGCTGCAGAGTGAGGTGAAGCCAAGTCTTTTTAGGCCAAAAGACTTGAGTATCCTTTTAGGCTGAGCAAGAGAAGCCAGTGAAGGGGGACAAGACTGAAGATATGAGAAAGAAGGGAAGGTCCTGGGGAGAGCAGGAAAGGATGGGGTCCAGTCCCTGGGACAGGAGGTGGCCTTGGAGAGGGGAGGAGGGTCTAGAGCAGAAGGTGAGAGGTCGAGGGAACACTTGCCTGGTGGGCTCCTTTTTCTAAAGGAAGCGAGGACACCTACTGAACATGCATGAGAGAGAGGAGCCAAATTTGAAACAACAGCCTTGGGGAAAGAAAAACTGGCGTTTGGTTAGATCCAGAGTTGTGAACAAGCAGGGCAGAGATGCCTGCAGAAGTCTGGGAGGCCAGACCTCGACCAAGACAACCTCAGGGACCTGGAATTCCTGCCATTCTAATGTGGGTGGAAGAGGCTCCAGGGTCTGATCGCCAGGCAAGGATAGTTGGTGTGAGGGACATTCTGTGCTTTAACCGGGGCAGATCAGATAACAGTGGGTGGCTCACCAGAGAGCCATACGAGCCTGCGAAACTAAGGAACAGGGAATGGCTCGATGTGTGCCCTTCCTCTGTACTGTCAACAAATTCTCCCAAGCATCCCACCCTCGGCACCTAAGAGGGTGACATTCTACATCTCCGGCTTCTTGTCTCTCAAATGGGAGCTCCTGGAGAAATGGCTGGTTTTAATCTGGGGCAGGGAAAATACAAGAACAGCATAAAGCACCTTGTAGTACCAAAAGTAAGGAGGTACTCGAAAAAAAAGAAAGGATAGGGGCACATTGAAGGGACACCGGAGCTAACTGAAAGGGCTCCCAGTGGCCAAAGCTTTACAATTTGAGGAACACAATAAATAATATTGTACAGAATATAAAATACAAATATAAAATACAGAATACAGAATATAAAATAAATATATGAGTCCATACTGAGATAAATTATTAAATAAGGGGGAAAGAAACAAATCTCACCTACAGAAGAACCCCGATAATATGTGTGGACACTCTCCCCTCCAGGAGGTGGAGTGTAACACCTATCCCCTCTTCCCCACCTCTTCGAGAGTAGGCTGGCCTCAGTGTCTTAGTGATTAGCTTCTAAACAATAGAGAATGGAAAGGGAAAAACAGTCACTTGACAGTGGAGAAACCTGGCCGACACCAGCTTGACCAAGTGATCAGGGTTAACATCACCAGTGATAAGCCATGTTGGTACCACATACCCTCCGATAGGATGTGATGAGAAGTGTACTTCACCTGTATGTTATTTTCCCCCTAAGCCCATAACCCAGTCTAATCATAAGAAACATACGAGACAAATCCACATGCAGGGACATTCTACAAAATACCTGATCGGTACTCCTCCGAACTGCCAAGGTCATGACAAGCAAGGAAAGACAGAGAAACCGTCACAGACCAGTGGAGACTAAGATGAGATGATGACAATGCATATGGGATCCTGGAAGAGAAAGAAGAAAAACCTGTGAAACACAGATAAATTCTGGAGTTTAGTTAAGAGTAAAGTACCAGTGTTGGTTCCTTACTAATGCCATGTGTTCTGCGGTAATGTAAGATGTTAATGATGGGGGAAACTGGGTGGGGGTAGTCAGGAACAATCTGTACAATTTTTGCAACTTTTCTGTAAATCTAACACTGGTCCCAAATAAAAAAGTTTATTAAAAAACAAAGTAGCCCTGGGAGTTCCCTGTACACCAAAATCCTCCAAGCAATCTAATCATTGGCCATGATAGAAAGGTAAACATGTGGAACACTGAACAAGTAACTCATCAGGTGATGCCAGGGGCTTGAAATTGTTTGTATAATTCTGAAAGCAAGCCCTTAAAATCCTTGCTTTTCCATTTTTTTAAACTGTAACCCATAATAAGTCGATTTTACACTGTGACCCAGCACATACTTCAACTTTATCTACAGTTAAATCTATACAAAAAAATCTTTATCTACAGTTAAAATCTATGACATACAAAATGGAAACAAAAATTATATATATATATTATATATATAAATACAAATGAAAGTTATACAATTCTTATCTTCTCACCTGCAAAGCATTGATTTTCCTTTCTGTTCTAGTTTTAAAAGTAATGCTGCTCACAAGCCACTAAATTGATTTCAAAACCTAAAATCCATAGTTTTTTTTCTTTCAACAGCAAAACTAGGCTCACTATGTACACACGTAATATTACTAGGGTGTTCAGGTTTCTAATATTGCTGATCTAGGGACTCAAACTTTTTTTCTTCTAACCATAAAAGGTCAGTTCTCTCAACTGCATATGAAACAAGTGTCTTATTAAAGCCATTAATTAAATGGATAACTATCAAGTATTATGTAGCTATTAGGGTATGTTTCTCAAGATTATATAGTAACATAGAAAAATATTTCTTCTTTAAACAAATATTGATCATCTCCTTTGTATCTGGTACTATGCTGCACATTAGGGACAAAGTGTTCAGCAAAAGAGAGGCAGTCTGTCCAACATGGAACTGTAAGAGTGGGTGGGAAAATATTAATTAAACACTCACACAAATATATAAACTGTGATCTGTGTGCATAAGAGAGTCCTAATGTAGGTTGAAAGGGGTGGTCAGGCCTGAAGAAAAGAGGCCAGGGAGAGCGTGTAGGGAAGAGGTCCCAAGGAGAGAAAACTGCAGAGGCACTGAGGTGGCGGAGAACTGGGAAGTTTTCAGAAACTGAAGGTTAGTGTGGTTAGAATGTAGTGAGGTTAGCAAGGCATGTGATGAGGTGGGCAAGGCCTACAGGGCCCTGAGTTAGGGTTAAGGATTTGGGATTTATCCAAATGCACTGAGAGGTTGGGGAATGCCAGGATCTGGTTTACATTTTTTAAAGATCACTCTGGCTACTGGGAGGAGAAGAGATAAGAAAGAGACAAGAGCAAAAATATAGAGACCAGTTAAGAGGCTCTAGCAGATGCCCAGACAAAAGATAAGGGCAGAGATGAAAGGAAGCAAATTACAAGTTAGAGATGCATTTTGGAGGTAGACTCAACAGGACTTGGTGATGAGTTGGCTAGGGTATGTATTATCACATAAATTCAGAAAATAATCTATGTTATTATACTCTTTGTACTGTGACTATAATTAGGTAAAAACTACTAGTATACATGGACAGGTCTGGAGTATAGAAAGTGAAAAATTGATTTGTTGGGACAGAAAAAGGAATATAGGGTAAAACACAAACATTGGCGTCAGACATGCCTTAGCTCTGCCACTGACTATCTCTGTGATGTTGGGCAAGATTTTTAACCTCTGAGCCTCGGTTCTCTCATCTGTAAAATGGGGATACCTCACTGGACCGTGAGGAAGATGAAATGGGAAAACATGTAATGTGCTTAGCTCAGTCCCTGGTATAGTACATTCTTAATACACTGCAAGTATTTTTATTACTACTGGCTATAATGGTGGAACTGGGGTGAAATTCTCATTCTTTATTATGACTGAATTAATACTGTTATGGTATTTATATAGTTTGTAATTTAAAATTTAGTAGAGTCTGTTTGAGGATTCTGAAACTGTATGGAAACAGCCTATGTACTTTCTGCCTGGTAACATTTTGCCAACCTGTGTCCAGAGTTCTTCATAGCTCCGGGATTTCTCTGCAGGGCACCTGAGGGTTAGAGAAGACCATGGGCCATCTCATTAAGATGCCACCCCCAACCCCTCTGTTTCCAATCCAGCCAAGGGTCTGCTCTTAGAGAGGCAAGCTCTAAATTGCTCCTAACATCCCTCTATGCCTCCCATCCAGGATCTCTTAAATTTATCTGTCCTAGATGCCTCCAGGGATTCTGAAAGCTTTCATTCATTCATTTAACCTTCACTGAGCACCTATTCTGAGCCAATCTATGTCCTCAAACAACCTAATAAACAAAATATAATGTAACCAAGGTATGAATAAGTTCCATGAGATACTGACTTTACCTGGGGAACGCTTCAAAAAGGGACATCTTAGCTGGATCTTAAAGGATGTATGGGAGAGAGGGCAAGTTCCTGCAAATAAACCAGCACATGCTAAAGCATGGTGGATTAAAGGGCATGACGCATGTAGGGAATGACAGGGAATGTCCACGTGGTTAGCTCAATAGTGTGTGATGGGAAGTGGTCGGGCATGAGAGATAAGTTGGTACCACATTGTGAAAGACCCCTGGGGCATGTTAATGAGTTTGGACTTAATTCTGAGGGCCACAGGGAGCAAGTGAAAGCTTTGAAGTAGGAGGATGGCATGATTAGATTAGCATCTTATATCCTCTGGTAGCAGTAGGGAGGATGGGCTAGAGAGACAGAGACTGGAAGCAAGAGAAGTTTGTTAGGAGGATCTAAGCGAGGTTTCAGCCAAGGCCAGAAAAGGAGAGTAAGTATCTTGATCAGCCTCCAGGAAGGGATGGGAGCCTGAATTATGAGGGAGGAACTGGGGATCTCCTTCAGTGCAGGGTCCTGGGAAGCTGCAGCTGCTGGTAAGAGGGGTCAATCATGAAACAATCCAACAGCCTTAAGGAGAGGCTGCGCCTCCCTGGCTGACTCCCAGCAGAATTTAACTACAAGAAGCAAAACTGGAAATGACCATGTGGGGCAGCTCAGCCAGCTGCAAGGGCCTCCCAGGGATATCCGGGTTATGCTGTTCTGCTGCCCTGAGCTAGCTCACTGATTACCCCTTTACTGCTCCTTTGGGATGTGTCAGCAGGTGAGACTATTCCACTAGACAGTGTTCTTCAGGGGCAGGGTCTCTCCCTGGGTATTCCTTGCTCTGTTTGGGCTCCATCTTCAGACAAGCTTTAGTCTCACATTCATACGTAGCGAGAAATAAGCAAATTTCCAAACAATTCAAATCAAAGTCCCAGAATTGAGTTATACTGTGTCTGACTGGCCTGCCTTGGGGCATGGACACATCCCTGAGCAGGGGGACCCGTCACTGTGGCCGGGGAGATGAAATGCCCTTATTGGCTTAGTCTAGATCATTTGCAGCCCTGGAGTGAAGTGTGGAGGCAGCTTTACACAGAAGACCACGGACTGGGAGTAGGACTGGAGCAGACACCCACAGGAAGATCAAGGCTTGGGAAAATCAAAGTAAATGAATACAAGATGGTGGCCAAAAATAATTGATGCCCACTATAAGACGAAGCTTTATATGTTTCCCAGTGCCAAGTAGAGAATAGATGGCTGAATTGTTGGATGAAAAATAGTCAAGGATGTAGTAGAGTCATTCTAAGTTAACCTACTCCTGGAGAAGAACTTGGAAGGGCCAGTCCCAGAAAGCTGGAGAGCAGGCACAATTCTGAGAACTCAAGGCAGAGAGAGTGGAAATGGATACTTTAAACTAGTCATTTGCAACCTTGGCTAAGGATTAAAATCTACCTAGAAAGCTATGACAAAATGCCAGTGCAGGGGTGCCACCTCCAGAAAGAATGATTTAAACTCCCCAGGTGGTTCCACTGTGCAGCCAAGGTTGCAAGCTACTGCTCTAAGCCTCAGTGTCCAGAAAGAAGTGATGTGAGACCCAGAGCCCCATGAGCTTGGAAACTGGTAGGAACAAAAAGGAGCACACCCTCTCTGGTTCATTGGCCAGGCCTTCTTGAAACGCAGGACTCTGGAGGGGAACTAAGAAACCCAAGAAATCTGTGAGGCCAAGGGGGTGCAGTACCTCCTCTGAACACAGAGCAGAAGGAATGAGTTGTGAAGCCTGCTAGATCTCTCTGAGGCACTGGGGTTGTACGCATGAATTGCCTCTGATTGGCAGCAGCAACGGAGCCGAAAGGTGCCTGTTTCTACATCTGGAATGGCTGGGGTGGGGCAGGCCCAGACAGGTGAGGCGAGATTCCAGAGCCATGTCTGAGGTAGACTCAACAAGACTGAGGATGAATTAAAAAGATGGTGGAGTCACGTGTGGCACTGAGGTTTCCAAGTGGAGCTGTTGTGCACATGATCACGCATCTCAAGGACACAGGGAATCCCTGAGGGAGAGGAGCAGCAGAAAATCAGAGAGGAGAAATGGTGAGTGCAGTTTTGGGCATGCTGAGATGCAGAATACTGAGGAACAAACAAGAGATGTCCAGGAAGCAGTCAGCAATGGCGACATACAGCTCAGAAGAAAGACGTGTGAGCCATTAGCAAGACAGTATCTGTGTCGAAGTAGCAGAGGTGGGAGGCAGGAAGGCATAGGGGAGGAAGGGAGGCTATGAAGATGAAAGAGTGGCCATTAGCAGCAATCAGGGGGCCATTGTGTTCTAGGTGTGGATCTATCCCCTTTTAGCTTGATTTAGCTGAATCAAATATCATCTCTTTTTTTAAAAAAATGTAATAACTCTTAACCAGAAAACTAAGAGCATAACAAAAACAAACAAACAATAACAAATAATGCAGAATAGAAACAAGTGGGTTTTCAATTCTTTTCAATGTAGCAAATATTTACTGAATGCCTACTACGAGCCA